GGAGGGGGACAAAATGGGGTGCGCATCCACGGCACACGCCTGCGGGCTCCTGTGGGCACGCATCACCATTCAAGCCTATGGAGCTTGAATATTTGCAGTTTTCCGTTTTCGCGCGGGGGTCCGGAAGGGATCCCCCGTAAAAACAGAGGGTTGACTGCATAGGGTATCCATTCCCAGGATGTTGAGGCTTTCTCACAGCATTAACTTGAAGACTCTCTTTCCCATGTCTCTATTTTGGTTTATCATCCACAGATGTATGATGCTCTCCCAGGGGTTATGAATCATCTTAAGGGACTTTATCGCGAGGTCTTGGAATACAATGACTTCATGCACAGTCTGGTGAAGGAAGAGGTTCAAAGCCACAAGGAAAGATGGAAGGAAGGGGATGAGCCTCATGATTTCATCGATTTCTACCTGGATCAAATAGCAAAGGTCCCTCCCACTTACCTTCCTTTTCTTTGTTGGCTACGATGGGTGGGAAAATATTGGGTCATATTTTGTGGCCTCTGGGATCCTCAGAGTCAGTTATATTTTTTGCAAAAAAAAAATTAATAATTATAATAATCCCCATGCATCTGAGGAAGTAGACCGAAGTCTAGGAAAGCCCATGCTATCAGCTTCTTTCTTTCAGATAGTCGCAAAGGTGCCTCAAGATCCCTTTGTAGATCCTCATGGTATTCTGGAAGGCACCCAAATTTCCAAAGCAGCTGGAAAACCATTGGCTCCTTTTTAGTTTTTTGTTGTTATCAATTGAGAGGTAAAAGGATTGGGGCTGACTAAAATGGCATCAAATTTGAAAAAAAATCTGGCCATAATGCTTTTAAAAGAGCTTTAAAATCCCTTGTCAAAGTTCAGTGGGCCTTCAGTATCTTCTGGGATTTATTTGGTTCCAGGAGCGCCATGGATATCAAAATGTTTGGTTGCTCATCTCACATTATATACTATGGCATAGTGAAATGGTGTACCTTACACAAAATGATCAAATCCAGGTTTTGCCTTTTGGCATTTATTTATTTTTAATATTTTCAAGCCATGGATGGTTGAGTCTGCGGATGGAGAATGCATGGATATGGAAAGCCAATT